GCTTCTTTTTAGAAGATTTTGCAACGTGGTTAAGGCTTTATATCCATTAAGGTGCATCTTTTTATGTTGCCGTTCTAGCCATGCGCTTCACCAGATTGAATCCCACAGGTCTTAATCTGTTCTGTTTGTTAAATTGATCGCTCTTTTCTTTGATTGGATGTATTCACGTATTAAGTAATTCATTGATTGGCTAAATCTGCATTCACTCTACATTCTTTCGGATTCTCTGAAATCCAAAAATAAGCGAACGAGTATGCCGCTTTCGCTGCATTTTGAATTAGAATGTACATTTTCCCTTTTTGTCAGCTAACATGGAGGACGTCAAAATTGTCACAAATTTTTCCTGGGTGGCTTTCAGGTACACCCATCTCTCTAAAAATTGGAATTCCAGTTAAGAAAATTGTCGAACTTTCCTTGTTTTCTAATGGTGTCCTTTAATCCTTGTCATTACAACTAATTTGGTAAATAGCACCGATAAATTTTGCACATGCGCATTAACGGAAACTCATTGTGGAAATTAAAAAGAAACCCGTTTCTGATTTTTAAAAAAACCACGCCCAATCCGGATCCTTTGTAGCAAATTAATGTTTACAAACACTATCATTCATTGGATACACGAGCACTTGCAGGCCTCGTGTATTTTGTAGCGAAGTAAGGTGCATTTGATTTAAAAAATTAGCGTTTTACAAAAGTTTTAAAGAATTTCTAGTAAAAATGTTGTACTTCATTCCACGCGGTAGGTTGCCTTCTGTATCGAAAATTTAAACACGCTCGTTGATACTGCGTTGCTACTTGACTGAGTTCCTTGAAATAATACAATGATGCATACAGCTAACATTATTTGTAGCTGAGAGAAAAACCATCATATCCCCCAAACGTCATTCAGTTAGTTTGGCCTACTGTTTACATACCGATTGATACAGTTTTATGCTACATTGCAATATTAAGAGAACAGTCGCCAACCCCGATTTAACTATAGTGGAGATTCTGAAGATGCAACTTTTAAGATCTGAAGTCTCAAATCAAAAGGCAATGTTAAGGAAACTGTTCTTGGAAGTAAAGGCTAATTTTGTACTGGTTTACCTTACCATAAAGTTATATCAGTTAGTTTTGTTTCATTTTTTCCTAATACTGGACAATTTCTTGCTTGCCCACATACGTTTTTATCGTATCCTTTTTTCGATGTTGCCAAGCATGTATACCCTAAACATTGGAAAAAATTTTGCCAAAATTTGTTAACCATTCCCTTTTTTGTAGAGTTGGGGCTAGAGTCTCATCTGGGATTATACTTGATTCTAAACATTTCTACATAAGTTTCGTAAAGGATTCAAAGACTTTTATCAAATTTTTTGGTTCGCGAATTCTGTTGTCATTGCTAGAATTTTGCAACTCGTTGGCAATACCGCTAAAATAACGAGAGCAGAATTTTACTGCCTAAGGCTAGTGCCTTTACGAGATAGAAAATCAAACATACAGTGATGTCATCTTTATATTTCTGCTCTTACTCAAAAATGTTTTTTAAATGGCCCTTTCGAGTATTCGGAAAGAAAAATTTTTCCCCCTCTCTCTGCTCTATCAACTTTGCATTACAAGTTTGAAATGCAAGTTCAGCAACATAAAATAAATTTATTTTTTGGTGCTTGATATATTCTCAGGACTGTTTGGCGGTTTAAAACGCCTCTGTTAAAATGCTTTCATTGATTTTGCTTTCATTAGAATGACTTTGGTGATCTGAAGATCGGATCAAGAACTTTGTTGATTTAAACATTTTTGAAATTGGTTTAAATCCAGTTGATGTTTACGGATTGCTTCGTGTTTACGGCTAAAAGTGATGAACTGGAAAATGTATAGTACACCGCAAACGATTCAAAATGATTCTTTCAATTGCAAGAAGATTCAAGTTTGTATCAAGATAAAAATAAAGCAGTTAAAAACAAAACGAATGTTGTAGTGTTAACTGAATTGAATTGCCAATTTATTCATGTTGCTTTATGCTTTGTTTGCTCTTTGCTTGTTAATTTTTGAATAACAAATTTATTCAAGTATAAAGGTAAGAGAAAAATTTTGACATTTAATTGGACCCTTTTTCCAACCTTGAAGACTTACAGTTGTGCAGTTGTGCTTTTTTTCATAAAAATAAAGGTGTATTCTATATTTATTTTATATATACGATTGAAACTTTGAAACTGTTTAAGACTTTTTTACCTAGAAAATCTCTGATAAAAATGTAAAAAAACCTAGAAATAAATAATTTTTCCCAATAAATATGCGACAGGGCAATCTTTCTAATGATGTTCGTTTAGTTTAGGTTAGTTAAGGCTGATACTTGAATCGAGAAAGGGCTAACTTTTTGCAGCGAGTTTCCATCAAACTATTTGACCTAAAATTTATTTTGTGATGTTGGATATGGTAAACTGTTCAAATGCTCAGTTGAGATAAAAGTTTAAAGACCTTCCAGTTAGTTTCAAATATCTTGCAAAATCTACTTGTGAATTAAGACTTTTCTTGTTCTTATGTCTTTCTAGATCCTACGTCTTTTAGACTTGGAATATGCTAAATAGAGTTTCAGTGGCTATAGAATGTTAATTTTTGTTATGTCTGACAGTTTCCTAACGCTCGAGATAAAAAATTTCGTATTTAGGATGTTTAAAAGCAGTTCATTGTAGTTTTCAGTTGTTCTGTTTCTAGTAAAATTAGCTCTCCAAATTTATGCTTCATCATTTCCTAGCACGTTGATGTGAAGGATTATTGATAAAGGAAATGGAGATGTTTTAACTTTTTGAAGTCCTAGTAAAGCACAGTTTTGGTCATTTACCCAAAAAATGATAAAGCCATTTTGAATGTTCTGATTGGTCAAGAATATCTATCTATCCACCCATCTTTCTACCAATCTAACCCACATGACAAATTCACTTTCTTAAAAACTGATCATACTTAAAGATACCGAAGTCTTGCCTTATTGAAATCAATACAAAAAGTCATATTTGTGATGATTTTGCCCGCCTTGTTTGTTTGGTCCTTTGAGAGCAACTTTGGTTTTGGCGCTAACGTCTTGTAATTGTTACCTATTATTGGCGCAATTAAGATTTATCGGCGTTTTATCGCTCTTTTGTTCTACTTTGATTGTCCTCAGGTGTTTCTCGCTGTAATCAAGTCTCGTGTTTTAAATGGGTTAACGTTTGTTGTTACTTCATGCCAAGAAGTTGTTTATAAATTGCATATTTGCCTTCTTCATCTGATAGAAGACAGATAGTGGCGAATGAGTTTTCATCTTATATATAAGCATTTGCAAATTTCTTGTTTTAAAGCAACACAAAATAGGGCTGCTTTGTGGTTTTCATGTTGCCTATGTTTAGAAGCATGTTTAGTTTGAAAGTGACCTGTATTTCCTGCACTGTGTATAGTCCACCTGTCATATAGATCTCTGTTAATCTTTTCGCACTTTAAAATAAAGGCATCAGATCAACAAGCTTCACAATATACTCATGCCAAAAATACAATTCTCGCTGTAGCCTGTTTACCCGAAGGAACAAACCATCTGTTATCATTGTATAAAGTTTTCAAACCTATGGAAGGTCTACTTTTGTGGATTGTAATAACTTTTGCTAACACCATGGCTGCTTTCCCTTTGAATGTCATTAAAGGTGCTGCAGGCATTTTCTTATAACATTGCTATATGTTTCAGTTCAGATCTGGGCTATTTACCTAATTGCAAGAAGTACTGGGAGCTGCTATGTATAATGTCATAAAACACAAGTTAATGTCTTTTAGCAATGCAAAATGAACTTTATTCTATCTAAAAGCTCTTGTCTCATCAACATCCCTGTTTGAGGGGCATACATTTGAAAGTGGGAAACGGTTGTAGAAAATATAAATTTATTTCAGAGCTTGCTAGCCTTTCTCAAGTTATCAATGTGAAAATGTGAAGTTAATATGAAAACAAGTTGTTCATGCTGCGTCTTTGGATTTTCATTTTCTTAAAATTCAGCCATGGACCCATCCACAAAAATTTATTAATGAAAATATAATTGATGGGGTAATGGAATTTACATCTGAGGACGTACAACTGACTTTGAAAACGAGAATCGGAAATCTATTAACTTTATGGAATTGATTCTTGTCAAAAGGCTTTAAGTGAGCACCTTTATGTGACTACCATATATTTTGAAGTCAGTTGATAAAACTTTGTGCAAATAAAATTCTTATAGTCTGGCTGATCCTAGCACGAAGATGCTTCTGTAAACACTCTTAATTAAATTTTCTATTTGGATTGTATACTGCAAATGAAATCAAACTCCATTTTTCATAACACTCTGAGAAGTGGTGTGGATGTGATAGGAAAAACTGGCAAAAATGACTTTCGTTTAATTTGTTTTAAATCCCAATAACTTTTTTGATAATAATTCTAATCCATTGTTCTGGTGAAAGTAGCTTTTGATTAAGCTTTCATAAATCGTGGATTCGCTTAAAGCCTATTGAAGGAAGTGAAAAGACGATGCCTCAGAAGCATAAAGGCCAAAGGAATATACAGATTGGAATGGATAAAGTTTAATCTCAGCTAACTGAATTCCCTTCTTTATTCATGTCTTGTAACTTAATCAATACTGTGTGTTTTAATGCAATTCTTTGTTAGTTTTTAAACTCCAATGTCGATGTTTTCAAGTTATCTCCTAGTAGAGAAACCATTTTTGCTTCAAACATAAGATAATTCGAATAATATGAAACGATCAAACGATAACTGTTTTATCGCAATGTTTTAGTGCAGTTGAATGATGCAAAAGCATTTAATATTTTAAACTGAAGCATTGTTTTGAAAAATGATTTGAAGATATTTTGAAGTGATATATGCATGTTTCGATCCAGAGTGTTATTTCCATTATTTTTGTTTCCAAAACCAGACGGTCAATCGATAAAGTGTAGCGAATTGGGAGGGTATATCAAGAATTATGAGATTCTTTACGATACGAAGCGTCAATAAAGCTTTTAATGTTCTTACTTACCTTCCGTTTTTTGTGACAATCATTTCGTTTGTGAGTTGATGAAAGCTTCTCCACAAATCAACATCATCCAGCATTACCCTTACACATTCTCTGCTCTCCCCACTCGTCTCTCTGTTTTCCAAGTCCGGACTTCCTGGATTCGATGATACTTCAGTCTTAGGACTCGTATCGGGAGATTTCTTCGGGCTGCCACTGCTCCCCTCTAAAATGGATGCCATGGAAAAATCTGATTTCATCTCGGCTACGTTTTTGCTCATCTGCTACTCCACGTTGTGTACGCCAACTCCGCAACTTCGGTCTGGTGTGTTTACGATCGCTGCACCCTGCACAAAACGACAAGTATCGACGTATTCAAACTGGGAAATGAAGCTTTTGCCGTGTGTTTGTCAAAGATATTACGTACGAGATCTAAGACAGAATGCCTTTTACCGACACTCTGAGTAATTGTCTTGGCTTGTTAAAACGATTGTCGACTAAAGCGGTAATGTTGCCCGTTCATTATAGCCGTATTATGACCTCTTTTGCCCTTCCGACATTCACACTTCAAAAGCTAATTAGCAATCGCAGCTACCCGTACTAAGTAGCCAATCAGATGGCGCGCTCGATCTTCTTGTAACTCTCCCCCAAACCAACTATACAGTCAGTTATATACGGGCTCTGAGAGTGATTTTGACACAACTCCGTGAATGTGAGCGTAGGATTGATGCTTGATGACCGATGACGAACTCTCGATCTGACTTAAAACAGGTTTCTTTGTAAATAATAAACCTCTTTACCTACCGCCTCATTGTTGTTTATTAAGATCTGTGCTAATACGCTATGCCCGTGCTGTTGATTAGAAAACCGAGTGACCACGTGATTTATGAAACAATATAGCATGATGCTGTTGGTTCGCCTTTTCGCCTATTGCTTCAATGGAGTCTGGTTCGAGTACCAAAATGTACTGAGGAGTCACATTTTGTTGATTCCCACTAACTTGCCAGTACAAAATAACCACATTGGTATTTGCTAGAACGTTGCTCTGAGAGCTTTTTATGAATCCAGTAGACGCTTTAAAGCAAGATTATAAAAGAAATAAAGTTTAATTTACATCGGTTTGACACATAATAGGATTTTTATCAAGAAGTAGTGTGCTTTTGTTACAAAGTCATTCCAACTACCCGCTTCTTGTCTAATTGGTAATCAATGGCGTTAATTCAGCAAAGGCCAGTGAAAGCTATTAAATCCTAGGTTATTCTCTTAACAATTCATCGTTCTGTGGTCACATCTAAATAGTTGTATTGAACAAAACTTAGCAAAAATAACATTCATCACTTGGCACATGTGCTTCAGAGAGCCTTTCGGTTAAACAGCTGGATGCGTTAATTCATAAAAATTGTGCACCTTATTCAAATTATTCGCTAACATTTATTGTTTCAAATAGATTGTAATAGGATATATTCATTGGGTTTACACTATCCACAATTATTCTTATTTCAGGCAATAATATGCTCTAACTTCTGGGCTTCCGTGCCAAGTTGTTTGGTACCTGCGCCTGCGCAGAGGCAGCATGTTAGCCAGAAACAAATGTTATTGTGTATTTTTTAATGCTGTGTCAAAAACATTTAACATTGAGAAGTGCAGTTGTGTTTTGTGAAAACGAGATTTTCTGTATATACTCAGCCAATAGTAGTTTTTATCAGTTTGTATCAGTTGTTCAAGGCAGCTGTTTTGGTTCGTGATTTCGTGAACTTTAAAATTTGCATCCAGTATTATTCACTAGTACTCCATTGGATATTTTCATAATTTTCTATGACATAAATTTCTTTTCAAGAATTATTTTGTACATTTGGTTTCAGATAGCTATTGCCTATTTAAAATTCGTATAGGATATAGATTTATGTAAGGAGACCTTAGATTAATATTCGAATCTTTAGGGAAAATTATGATCAACGTTTTTGCGCTTTGCAGTGCCGATATGATACAGTCAGTCAAAGTGTAATTAACTTTTGCTGAAAATTTGAATTTTCTACACAGGGATTTTATTAGGGAAGTTTATAACGATGTTTATAGTTCTTGGAGTAAATATAGAATGCTTCTTACCAAATAAACGTAAGATTTCGGGCGTTAATTTTTAAATCATGCAACATTTATTTTGAAAGTCGTCTTTTCTGAAAAGATGGAACAAAAACCGGAATGTTTGAGAAGTGAGATGCTTAGAACTTTACAAATGTCTGGTGAAAAATATTTTGTAAAATTTCCCCATTTTGCTGTTTTTAATTCTAACAATCGAATTTCTTACAATCGTGAATCTTTGTTCAACTGCTAGCATGGGCTGTGTGAATCATGTTTTCCAGAGAACAAAAATTCAATACACTACACCATGCGGAAAGATGATGAGTACGGAAAATTAACAGGAAATTGTGATTGTTTAAATTCACTTGTCATGTACTATCTTTTGCTTATTTTACACGCACATCTTCAGGATGGTGTGCAAATTGGATATATTTGTTCGTTTCCTTATTCAATGACCGAACATTTGATTAGCTGGCTTTGGTTTCTGATCTGTGAATCGACAAATACATGAAATATCGCAGAAGTATGTTAATTAAAAATACGCTGGCTTTTAAAGATATCAAAATTCTTCGTGAAATATCATTACGTCACAAGAATTGTGATTACACTGCTGTACTGTAGAAAGATTTACTATGCGATAGCTTCTGGTGTATCTTGTTGAAGACCATTTTGTTGACTTTTTTATGGTTGGCGATTTAGTTGAAAGATATGAATTTATAAATGTAATTAAAATAATAATGATTTAATAAGAATTAACGAAGCTACCTTTTATCTAACAAGTTCGGAATAGTTTTCCAGCAGTAACTAGTCTTCCCGCAATGAGTACGATTTTTGAAAGTGTCTTCAGCTGAGTAAACTTTTCTATGATTTGATAAGTTCATCCTACTTGATGTTTTTATAATATTTTTTCAGTATTGTTTTTATAATATTTTTTCAGTATTGTTTTTATAATATTTTTTCAATATTGTTTTTATAATATTGCTCAGTAGATCATGGCGATTGTTTGCATTTGCTTTTCTTGCAAGTTGGTTGTCTAAAGTTTAGTCGTCTAATTGAAATTTTGCTTGATAATAAAACCTTAGAGATAAAATATTTCTTGCTCTTTATTGTTTTCTATCTTCTTAATAACCCCTTTTATGTTGGTTTTGTTATTAAGATAATGGCTAATAGGGTCAAATTTTGTCAGCTAATAATATTTAGGCATGTCTAACAAATATTAGTATCGAAATTACAATGCTACTTACTATGTTTCTCTCAGCTGCCCCTAAATCAAGGACGCCTACGGATTTTTTTGTGCCAAATTTTATCATAAAAGATCTTCTGTTTAAACAGCAATTAACCTGTTTTTCTACAGCCAAAAATGTGCTTCTAAAAATTTAAGAAATTTTCAATATGGATTGAAATTTGAAAGCAAAGAGCTACTTTGCCAAAGGCTTTTTTGTTCTGTCAGCGACGAGCTGCAAGCCTGCTTATAATATCTCATGCTAGGCTCTCCCACGGTGTACTGGACTTTGAAAGTCCATAAAGCTTGCCGTCCGTTGTAACAGATGCTCCGATCATTATCAAGTCCGTAAAAGAAAAAACGAATTGTAAAATGTACAAAAAACGAACTCAGTCGCCCTAATGATGATTGAATAATTCTAAAGGCATAGCGCTTTATCTGTACACGATAACTGTTAAGCTACTATCGACAAGATTCTAATTAAAGCCTAAATTTTCATTTTTACTTTGAGGTAGATACTTCTCGTACCCTGCTCAAAATTACTTGCTATTGTGAAAATTAATTTGCCAGTTATATTAACTCATAGAAAGACGTGAAGAGCACCTTGAGAGCAGTATTTTAAACCCTGCAAAGTGAGCAGACAATGAAACATTTTGAGATTGTTCAGCAAAGCTACATATGCTGCAGATATTTGTTTACAATTTCATTTGATATGCTCAAGATAATTGTGAAAACTGGTACTCTATGTCTCAAATCTTTCACATTCCTCATTTAAACTTCATTCTAATTTGCATGACCAGAATCGGTTGCCATCATTTCTTTTATTTGACAAGAAGTAAGGGAATCTTGTCAAAAGTAAATTGAAGTAGCTTTCATTCTCTCTGCTTGCTACAAGAGAGTTTGAAAGTGCATTCTAGAAAACCGAATACCCAGTACAACTGAGAAAGCTCGAACAGATTTTGAGAGGGTTTTCATGAAGGACTTTTTGCCTAGAATATGTACTTTTTTAATAGGTCAAAGCATCGAATGAGTTAGGTAAAATGAGTTGTTGGTTTTGCAATACGTTGCTAATTTATTTTCAAGATGAATTAGACAGGATCTTTTTTGCAGCATTTCTTTCGATAAAGCTCGTGTTGCCTGTTTCTAACGTTCCAGCTTGTGCAGTGATTAACTACCATCCATTCATTTGAGATTTGAGTTTTTGGTTGCAACTTTTACTTGTTTGTTCTTGGATTTAATCTAGTCTGTCAATTTCTACATGCTGGTCACTTTTTACCAAGAGGAAAGTCGAAAGAAAGCCTTGGATTATTCAGTACATCCTACATAATCACGAGCAAAATGATGTTAAAAAGATGAAAATTTCTCTTCCTATCCTTAAACAAAGTCTAAAATGCTGATATGAAACTAGAAAGCAGTTTCCAGTTTGTTTAAGTTGATCAAGACAATAATTTTTAAATTTTTGTTCATTTTCTGCCCTTTTTTCCTGGCTTTGAAACCTTGATTGTAACGTAGGGGTGGCGAACTGTGGTTACGATTCAAAGCCCAAAGTCTCGCATTAACCCGCTTTGGTAGGGCTTGTTTACATAAAGGACTAAGTGTATTCCCACAGACAGTTAGTGTACCTGAGATGTCTGTGCGTTTTCTAAGTTAAACTACTAAGGATGCATGGCGAATTGTGGTTGTTTTCTATGTTTTAAAGAAATTTCTAATTATCCTGATCACTTTCCATTCAATTGCTTGAAAACTCAAAGGCTATTGTAGTCTACAAATTTTAAATCGTTTTATAAAATAGAAGGTTTATCATGTCTTTCATGTTGTCAGTGTTTTGTAGGGTTTCAGAGAGTCGCTTCATATGCAGATTCCAAAACTATATATTGTAGCTGAAAAGGCCTTCCGCGAAAACCCTGCAGGCTTTTTAAAAATCGATGTGAGCTTACCCAGTTGTATTGGGTATTTGCTCTTCTGGAACAAATTTAAAGCAGTGCGAAAGCATTTTACTTCCCATGAAACCATGCCCTTCTATTCTGTGGGAAAACTCCTCATACGGAGATATCTCTCCGTGAAAGTTTGTCACGAATGGTGTTGCATCATGAATAAAGATTGCCATTTCTTTCATGTTTGGGGCATAAAAGAGGTGCTTATGACACCTGGAGCTCGTCAATATTTAATCGATATATTATTGTATATCAATAACTTGCTGTAATGATCCCGGATACATTACGGTAAACCCCAACTGAATTTCAAGCTAGCCACACCAGTTTGCAAAAGAATCAGGCTTTAATTTTAAAAAAAGTCAAAATCATATTCCTTGCGCGTGCAAAATAAGTTAATAAGATTTATGTCTTACAAAATAACCAGCTGTCCCACAAGTCTAAGAACTCCCTGAAGAAGCCAGTTATTTTGATTTTTCCTCAACAGGCTAAACTTCTTTTACCCAGCATCCAAGCATATGCTTGTATTTGAGGCTACTGAAATATAACTCTTTAATTCAACAGGGGCATTTTGATAGTTTTCGGAAAAATCTTGCTAGCTTTTCCCAAAAAAAATTCAGTATAACCCATTTAGAAGACTCCTAAAGTTAATAAATATGAAGAACTCCTATCTTTGCGCCTATCTTTGCAAAACAGGGATAGGATCTTATTCTTCTAAGAAAAAATATTCAACACTCTGCTTTTATTTGACTTTATTTACAGCTCTATCATATCTCATTTACTACTTACAACAGAGCAAAGTCCTAAAATATAGTCTTTTGAAAAGGCCTGTGTATTCAGATGCAATTATTAACTATCAAACTATTTTCTTTTTTCTATCTGAGTTCTGGAGCGAACCATCAATTTCATTACTTGAAGTCGTTGCGTTTGATTCTTTGATTATTCTTTTTAGATCAGTCAAGAGGTATTCATTCTTATAAATATGAAATCATACAGTTTTCCCATAGTTTGCATATAAGTCACTATATTTCTAACTTATTTCTATGCATTTCGAAAAAACAGAAAACTGTCACGGTCTCTTATCATTATTGTCATCATTTTGTGCCGTTATTTATTTTTACAACCGTGAACTTATAGCAGAAATCTTCAACGACATTCGACAGTTTTAGCGAATCTTTACTCAAAGTTGTATGTTTTTTATTGGTTTTTAACTGTGAATGAACAGAAACGCTTTACCCTATTTTAGATTCCTTTAAGTAGTTTTATGCCCTTGATTTCATGATCTATCGTGTTAAGTAACTGTATCTCTATAGTTTTCAGTTTTATTCGAACAAATTTTTGACAACTACAAAGAAAAATTTCCACTTAAATTATGGTATATCAATCAACTTTTGATGTTTTTTCTGGCAGTATCAAAAATTCTTTTTCCAGGCAAACCCATGCCTGTTGTAATGCAAAGCAATCTATATTTAGAATTTCAGAATTTGCATGAATTGCTCTTGCAAATTTTGCATTTAGCCTAACGAACACAGCATAAGTTGAAAAATTTTAATTAGCTTTATTTCAGCCAGTAAAGTTAACGATGCTTTCTTGCTATTTGATAACTTTGTCTCTAGTTTCCTAGATTCATGTTAGAAAATGTTTAAAATTATGGGTTTTTTTAATTCTAAGAAACAAATTAAAGTCTCTAAAAGCTCAGTATTTTCCTTTTGCAAAATTACATACATTTTCCGCAAAAATGACTCGTTAAATTCGCACCGAAAATATAAGAGCGAAGATCTTTGAAATTCTGAAGAAATTTGTATTTGAATATCTGTTTGGTGCGTTAAGCATGTCTCACCAGATGCATTCAGATATCAATGTTAATGCTAAATTCGAGGTCACACCCTTATTCTCTGTTTCATCTTCGAAATAGAAGGCTGTTGACGACCCTTTTAATGCTCTTAGGGCTTCGCTAGGCTTGTAAGCAGCTCTATTTCTTTGTCACAATGAAATGGTGAAAACATTTGTTGAGCGCACTGCATTGTGTGATTGTCTTATTGTTTCGCAAAGTTCGCTTCCCTTTTTCTTCCTATGTTCAACAAGACCTTAAAGAACAACCGACCATACATGTTTTAGTGATCCAAATCGTCAGCCGCTTAAACTTTTGCACATTGCATAGAAAACGTTAATATCATCGTTTCGCGGACATCCCGCCACAAAAGAGCGATTGAGCGGCGCTTTTGCTGTGATTGTGCGCGCTTGCGTTTCCTCGCTAAAATAACAACCAAATAGAATCATTTCACAACTATCAGGGGAAATTCACTGGTGGTAAAGGCCCCGCTTCATGTGTTTTATTTGTTTTGTTGACACAGCTCTAGTATTCTCAGGCAACAAGTGCTTGCTATTCATTTTGCTCTTCTTTAACACTGCTATTGTCAATGTGTTCCTAAATGACTCCAGAGAAAGATGGAAAAATCTGATTCCGCAATCAATGCCGTTCACAGGCAAACAACGGCTCTTCGTTGCAGTAACCCTGCACGCCCTGCACTTTTCAAATCTGTTGCACATTGAATGGACCAACTGATCACTTTTCTACAGTCATTGTTATTAAAACATAACCCATGTATGAAAGACATATTTTTGTACAATTTTATTGGCGGCTTTTTCTTAAGAAATCTTTTTCTATATTGTCTGTTTTTAACCTATCTGTTTTAGTAAATATTAGCAAATGAAAAGGTCATTGATTTGCTTTTATGATTTTCTTTCAAAAGCGCACTGTAACACACAGGTATATTGAGAATGTTTGGTTAGCTTGTGAATTTTTTGCCGTCCTGCAAATTTTGTAAAAATAGCAAATGAGCTCGTGCACAAACAATTATCATCCAACCGTGTTAATTTTTTCGAGGAAGCAGTCAGAAATCATTCATTTTCATTTGAAAGGCCGTCAAAGCTGATCAAGAGCTGGCTGTTACCGAATTTGCCAAGACGATATTATATTTTTCTGAGAGCTTTCTTTCAGTCTTTTGCGGAACTCTGATACGTTTATCTGTTTGTTGAGTGGATTGACATTGATTCATTCTTTTTAAAAATGATTAATATTCTATAAGTACCGATTGGTAAGGAAATGCTTGAAGTATTTGCTTAGTAAAAATGCCGAGGCAAACAGACCTTAACATTGTGAAAATATGCGATATTAACGCTAACAGGAGATAATGAAAGCCTTCAAATATGTCCAGCAAATGTACATTTTCAGAAGATTCTAAACATGTTTTGCTACAGCAACAACCACAGTGATGTTTATTTGTAACACAATGTTTCTGTTCCACTTTACCTGCGGTTTTGTCATTATTATCGTGTTTAAACGTTTGTTTTTGTATTTATTATTGCTCGAATCATCATGATTATAACTGGAATAATATTATTGAACTATCGGTTAGCATAAGCTTTGTCTCGTTATTACATTTTTATTAGTTCTATTTTGTTTTTCTTACTCATGAACATTGCTATACCTTCATTTACCATAAGAAATAACGCTAACTTATGATCTTTTGCATGTCCTTATAATTATGCCAAAGATCATTTAGATGTGTTAAAGAAATCAATCATTTCAAGATAACAGAACATGCCTTATCGTAAATAAGTCAAGAACCTTAGAGCTAATATGAATATATAGTAAAAATTATTTTCAGGTATAAAAAAACCACAATGAAACAACAAAGCAACAATTCAGTTTGCCCATAAGAAAAGCCTCTTGTATATAACATATTCGTATTAATGTTACGTGTGGTATTTTATTTAAATAACGACAATATGATCAGCGAACAAGCTAAGCGCCAAAATGAAATAGATAAAAATTTACTTCATTTGGTACTGAATTTATCCGCTAATTATAGTGTCGTCTTGAGTTTCGTGTCTGTACAGTTTCTTATATACCAGTTTGTTATAAATAATAACATGTTTATTATATCAGGCCTTTGGTCTTCTACATTTTGTTTTTGAAAAGCATTTGATGTTAGACAATTGAACTAGCATTTGAACTAGCTAGACAATAATCGTGCAAATTTGCAATGAATTTTTTTGCAATTCCTGTTGTATTAAATTCAGATTTACTTATGTACTGTGAAGAGCTAACCGATTAGTTTTACTTTTCACTGTAAGTGCCGGATCGATAATGGTGATCCTTTGGAAAGTCAGTATAATTCTACTAGTTATGCGTTTCCGCATTTTCATGTTATTTTTCAAATAAACAAGTTTTTTGACGTCACAACTATTGCTGCGAAAATTATCTGAGCTTATAAAAATTGTTTAATTAAGGATGCAAAAGGAGAAATTTCAGAGCCTTGACCATTTTTTATGCTCTTTTTATTGTGTTATAAAAGTTAGTTTTTGACATTTCCATTTCTGCTTACTTTTTGTAGATTTCCATGCAATATCTATAACTTAAAATGTTCCAAATTTTTTTCTTCTGGAAATGCATCTACATTAGCTAATGATTTTTAGAATTAAGCAAATTTATCTGCTTCACATGACGAGAATGTCTCTATGCATCAACATTTGAAGAATATGGGCTAGTAAAAACCTGCTAGAATTGATGATCAGCCAAAAACAGTTTGGATAAACTTTATCTATTTAGTAGCTATGTATACCTTGAATCGTTCTTGAAAGATTTGGTGATCTTCATCTCTAATTCATTCGCTTTCAAACAGATTGGTGCAACAAGCCAATAGAATGTGGTAACTTTCTGATAATTGAACATAAATCATGAAGATTTAGGTACCGTGATTTCTTATGCGGAGATTGAGCCATCATTAGACCACCTCGTGGCAGTCGTTCCAAGCACATGTTTTTTCCTCTTCTACTTCCAAATGTTATGCCGACTTTTGAACCTGGCTCAGGCCAGCAAAACTTGCTGCCTATCTTCTGCGTATCTGCTAGTATTCTGACCATTTTTAAGGCCTACAGCTACTCTCATGAAATATATGCTGGTGTTTTATAACCTGTTTACTGGACACTACAAACTGCATTACCCTAATAGTAACTTTATCATCATTTATAGGCTCCATGCTCTGGGCGTGGTGTTATTCACTAAGTCGGAAACGATATTCCATCCTTAGGATTCTTTTAGAAAAGTTTCGTCATTAGTGCCCTGAATTTAGATAGCTATTTGCACATATGAAATGCAGTTAATGATTTGATTGAATCATTAGAAGCCACTGGCCATGTGCATATCTATATTTCTAAAGCCCTACTCGTTAGTAGAGTGAATTTATTAATTCTGGAACGTTTTAATGCAAGCAAATAGAGAGTAATTACTCCACGCATCTTTTTATTATATACCGGTACGTTTTTATTGCTATTTGGATATTAAAGATCTTAAACGCAGTGCATTATATTTTAGAACTTGCCAAACCAGAACACAATTTTAGAAAATAATCAGAACACAATTTATTCTTGGCAAAAATCTTCACGAGAATAAATTTTTGGATAAAAGAGCTAAGGATAAAACATAAAAACCATCAATGAAACTTAACACAACGTCGGTTAGAACTGTATTTGGACTGAGGTCTGCCATTTACATTTTACTTACTTTCTGTAGAAATGTCTTGCGTTGTTGCCTCTGTGCCATAAATAACTTAAGTCTTTGTTCGTAAAAACACTTGTGGCGCGATAAATTTCCTCGTCTTCAGTCAAAGGTAGACTCACTTGATATTTTTATCTGCTTTTGATAGAGAGCAAGATCCTACACTCAACTAGTGTAGCTACTACTGGAGATTTAGCTCAATATGTTGTTTATGTGCGCTAGGTAGCTTTCCCTCCCTTTGCGGGCGAAATAATTTCATTGTTCTCTATCACTGTTATTTCATACATATCTCAAGGCCCGTTCTTTATTTATGCAAAACAATTTTCTAATTGTTTTGTGACACTGTTTACAATCGAAATGGGTTAATCGACAGATGAATATGAAAAAATTTTCATGTCCGATTTACATCATGATACAAGGGAGACAGTGAAATCAGTTGATCGGCGTTAGGTGGCCGCGACGTTTTTAAATTGGTCATATTATCTGCTCTTGTCGTCTGTTCAAGCGATTAGCTTTCTAGTCGAAGTAGCTGCTTGTCTGCGGAGTTGCCATCTCTTGTATTTAATGAGAAAGTCAGATGGTTGCAGTGTTGCCAGAAACAAGGTGGATAACGCACATGTAATCTTATGTAAAGGCAAACTGCTAATCCGCCTGTTTTATCCAATGTACTGTACTACAGTCTGATTACAACGTCAATTAATTTTTCTCAATTTGTTACTTTATGACAAAGCAATCTGTTTTGCTATCAGTACTGTTTTATTCAATCAAATACCAAGCATAATTTGATACGAAAGTTGCATCTTTCTTCTAATGAGTTGAGTATCAACTGCGAAAAATGCTTCTGTCTTAGAATGATCTTATCGCATCAGTCCTTGCAGCTCCTCACTGCACTACATGAGGCTTTTACCGCTTTTGTTAAAAACACATGCCTAGATGCATAAAAGATGCATCGCTTGTAATTGGTACAACTATTGACACCTGAAACTGGGTTTTCAAATTTCTCAGAAGTAGAACATCGAACATTTTTCTGAACTGCATAGCGAGTTCTGTAGTACTTTTAGGTAGCAACCTTTCTAAAAACTAAAAACTAATATATTCTTAAAGTTGAATTTTGTTTTTTTGTTTAATTCTGGCTCGTGCCAATGGCATGACCAAACTTTGACTATGAGCGAAGAGAGTCGCCTGCTCTCTTTAATTCCAGGCGATGGAGTCACCAGATGTGGCCACAAGACCAGGACATTGCTCCTTTAGCAAGATTTTTCAGTGTACCAAAAGCCAACAGTGTTTTAAGTATTCAACTAACAATTATTTCTAAAAGAAACATCAGAAAATCAAGCTTCTGAAGTAAACAGTGCTTACTTCATTAATGAATTTTCGTTAAGAAAAAAACTAAACGAAAATAATATCCTATGCTTTAGATTATGAATCTGATTCTTCAATAAATTATCCTTCATATTTTTGTTTTCATCCTTTCTAAGAGAAGTTGTGACCCACTTAGTTTTTCTTCTTACATCATCCTTTTTCTCAAATGTATTTAATCTTTGCCATACACGTCATCAAAGTTAACCTTCATAGTTTTTATTCCTACTATAAAGCACGAAACATTCTTATGATTTCGAGTTTGGTGTATTTATTGTTGGTCTTGGAACGTTTAATTTGCTTGAAAGAGATGGCTACCTTTCATCTTAATATATCTGCGAATTTGTAGCTATACCAAGTTGAGTATATTCTATAATAATTACGATTTCTGCAGTTATAGCGTTATTGATTATGGTTAGACATATCAAAAGTGAGAAAAACTTACAAAATAATTGAAATATTCCTTTAAACCACAACAACAACAAATTTCAGGTTTCTTTAAAAAATTTGTATGTTTCCAAGGTTTCAATAATTTCATATTTTCTTGAAAAATCGTAATTTTTAAATATATGGCGTTTTCCATTTCCCTTCTGCTTCACTTATCAACCATGTGTACCCATCCCTTTCGTATTTGTCCCTATTTCGCTAATTTTGAAACTTTAGACAGTTTCACACATTTTGTTAACTGTTTATTTTCGGATTTTATAGTAATTGCGCTTTTAATTGGCGTAATTTCGTTTAAGCATTTCGTTTACGTGAATATGCTTCATAATGGCTTGGTCTATTTAATATAGGGTGTGGTCACCAAGCCATTTGTAACCTTTTAACATTTTGTTCCAGTTACAGATGCTATTTGTGTCAAAGTATTTTGCTCGATATGCCCCAAGCCATTCAGTTCAGTTTTAGTACCCAACGCTAAATATTTATGGCTAACATGTACTTCGTCTTGTGTTTCCTTTTAAGAATATCTTCTTGCACATCGTTTTAAAAAGAAATCGGTACAAAACCATTGTTTTTCCCCTTTTTTCCTTCGATTGCAGAGCGTTTCAAGCATTCAAAGGTTTCAACCTTTGAAGGAAATAGTATTTAGAGAATCTTAAACCTGATAGATAAAAAAATTTTCCACCATTGTGATAGTGTGCGCTTCATGAGTATACAACAATCGTTTTTTAGTATTATAAAATGCCACCCTAATTTCAAGCCAAGCATCATTTAAATCATTTTATATTGCCAGTTGAATTGTTCGGTTTTAAGATGCTTGCTCTATAATTACCGAGATTAAGCTCACTAACACGATTAAACTGTATTCCAGCTTCAATTTGTTGTTATGCAGTTGCAGTGTTACCTTTACCTTAATGAGGCAACTCAATGCTTGTAATAATTGTGACAGTCGTAGTTTTTCAATGCTAGGGCAATGAATTCTATCCCCTGTACATATTCTATGTTTGCTGATAAAAAGCGTTGTACTCTGCATCTGGCTAATATTTGAGGGACAGACATTTTAACTCTTGTTGTTAGCTCACATACCTGTTGTACTAAGCTATGTAATATCATTTTCAAGCATTGCCATGACAGTTTTCAGTTTACTATTCCATCTTTTTGTAAAGGTGGTATAGCAAAACTGCTATCTTTGTATTATAGAGAAATTTTTTCTCACTTGAAGACTCATAGACTCAAAGAGCAAGGAACAGACTCCAAGCTTATCGTTGACTTTATGTAGTGTTTAGGCTTTAATCCAAGTTTAAAAAGCGCAACCCTTGAAAAATTTGAAAATCTCCCTCAAGTTGTTTTCAGTTTCAAGATTTCCATTCACAGAGACTTTCGTTTTCGCCAAATCGGCTGTTTCGACACATACTTTGTAGGAATGCATTAAAACTTGCAGTTTAAAAATGCAAAATGCTACTTTAATTTGAATGAATATTATTTGTGCAAACAAGTATTTTTTATATCTTTAGCTGCAAAGATTTTTTTTCCTGGTAATAATTTTTGTTTTAAAACATTCGTAGCATATCCTCCATTTGTTACTGTCTACATCTTTTACCTAGATATAATTCAGGATGAAAATTGCAGAAATCGTTACTTTGTGTTGCTCTCATATCCCCTGTTTAGTTATTGCATAGGAAGCTAGGCTATCAAGCCAAAATCCAGTTCAAAGCGTACAAATTAAATTCAGAATGGTAGTGTTTTGCGTATGTTTATGCGTGTGATGAAATGATAACATTAACTTCTAAGAAATATGTTCAAAACTGCGTAGTTATTCTAAAGGATTTTTATTACTATGTGTTTATTGCTTCCAAATTTCCGTAAAAAATCTTTCTATGTGCCCTTGCAACTGAACAAACATCTAGGTTAATGGAATTGTTTTGCTTTTTTCTCATGGCACTTCTTTGTTCGCAAATGGACATTAAGTATCATGTTGCAAAACCAATATAAGAAAACCAATAAAAGTTGACAAAGATATCTTCGTAGTTACTTACTTTGGTCGGTTGTTCACGCCTCCACTATCGCGTTCCGCTCCGTCAAGCGCGGATGCTAGTCTGTTGGCGTTTAGCGATGTTCGCTCATAATTATCGTATTGGCACATTTGTCAAATTGTTGGTTTTGGCTTGACGGTCGTTCGCAGTTTAGCTATAGAGGGCGTGATCTGTCAATCATTTTTCAGAGGCAGTCATACAAACCTGTCAAAGTTACTGTATTGTGCGCTATTGATTGTCGGCTAATAACTCTGTACAGTACGAAAAAGCGTATTCGGTCTTTTTCATGGTTTACGATCTTTAGAATTGTACAAGAAAAGTGTTTGGTCCGAAGGCTTTTTGAACAGGAAAGCTGTAATACTGTTTGTCAACACGTATTCACTATCCTAGATCGTTAAGTATATGTAAGGATTAAAAAGTTTGCGCCCTAAGTCACGTTACTATCGGTGCAACGCACATATTACTGGTCGCTCAATTGTCGCAATGATGGAAACATCATGTTAAGATCACCGCGCTTTTTGTCATCTTTCAGCCTCATAACGCGAATATGTCTTTCATGTACCTTTCTCGTTTGAACAGTCTTACCCTCTTAACCTTCCCTTAAACCATGCTAAAACCTACAGTTTTCTTTTTCCATCAATGGTTCTATGCGCAAACGTAATGCGCGGTTGTGTCTGTCGGTTCGCGAGGGTATCCTAGGGCTTTGTTCAATTGGTGAACAATGTTTGTGCGGGCTTCTTATTTGAATGCAAATGTAAATGAATAGTAGTTGTGACTATGTCAAAGTTGCGCAGAGAAGATCAAACGAGTTCGGGTATTAAAGTCTTTGAATGTGAATATTGTATGTGTGAAAGAGCCGATTTTCGTATATATCTTGTTTGAATTGAGATATCCTTGATTTTCCAGCTAACTCCACCGTCAATCCACCGGTGTTTGTTGTTACTTTTCTTTCCTATATACAATCTTTTGGGGGATTGTGGATTGTTTACCTTGAACTAAAGTAGATTTTACTAAAAGTAATTCTCTCTTTACAGGAGGAAGGAGACTTTTCTAGGCCGATCTTAAGTATATTTGAACCTGCCGTGTTTTTACCTCTTTGACAAAGCCGTATTTTTAGCCATAGTGAAATGACTCATGGTTATATAAGAATTACTGCTATGTGACAGCATAGTGCAGTTAATTTTCTGCCAGCTCAGATTTATCGAATCCACATTATGGCCTAAGATAAAATTAGTGCTGCCAGTGCAAGGCTATAGATTTTCATTATCTATTACCAGATAATGTTCTTTTTGAAAATTTAAAATTTCTAAAATTGCGAACCCCCTTAATAGGGTCTGGCCCCTTAAAGATGTCATCCGTGCTTTATGTAGCTCAAAATGCTAATATGTTCTACTTGCAATGGCATTATGTTGCTGAACAAATTTAAGGACTTTGTAGACCTCAAACCAGCATTGCTGTTTCAATTTATCAATCTTTGAACAAGTATTTATAACGTGGTCAATTCTGTTTCTTCAAATAAAACAGCAGATATTCCTAACATAAAACTAATGATGCTTCAGCGCAATTGACATTGCTCTATGCATGCTTTGCATGTTTTTTCTTCAAAGCTGGGTTAATCAAAAGAGTTTTAGTACAGATACTTTTTTAAAGACGCCTCTAAAGTGCATAAAGAGATTTTTGGTCCATTTTTTTAGCATCAACAAGCATCATGCTAGTGTTCACAGAACAGCGTCTTTAAATCTTATTAGTAATTTTTTATTTCATATCATCTGTAACTCATTTTATATGTCCTATATGATGGATGTCTTTTAAAACATTTTATGCTCGGTTCCATCGAGATGCAATCTTTTTTACGGACGGATTTTTAAAAAGAACAATGTTTTTCAAATTTGAGTTTATTTGATTTTCTGATGAACGGAAAGCTTGTTTGTTTTTATAACTTATTAGCCCTGTTTATCATAAAACAATGAAGTTTTTTTTTCTTCGGGATCGTAATAGGGAAGGACCCTTAAATCTAAAGTGATGAATAGTTTCTCAAGGCACTGTTGTCATAACGATTTTTCTCTATGCTAGAGATATGTCGCTGATTGCCTTACAAATAAGAAAACAGGGAAAAAATATTTAAACAAAACAAAGCAACAGTATCGTCATAAATTTTTTGTTTTTTAAGAACCTTCCGCCCCTGTTGCAATTAGCTACGGCATTGCATAGTATCCCAAACCTTTTTTTGTATTCCAGCTCGTTGTCCTACAAGGTCAGAGATTTTACTGATCTACGCTAGTTTCACCACTCTACTTTATTGAAATCCAAACAAATTTACAAGCGGATGCAACCCTAATGAAGATTACCTAGTCTGTACCAGCAGTTAAAAAAGTTGGAAGAGCTAGTTTTCGTAAACTTTCGTAGTGTTTGCTATTTGTTGTTGCGTTTTTGCCCATTTGGTATTCGTTCCCTAACTCGTGCAAGTTTATACTTAAGGGTATGCTTCATTTCAGATGTTTCACAAAACAGTAGTTCAAGATCTCGATGCTAATGAAGAAGAGTCTAGAAAAGTGCCTTTCTTCATCTGGACAAGACCTTTTCTGAGAACGTCTCTAGGAATAGCTATAAAAGGAATGTGGAATTTGGGAGTGGCTCTAAAATTTCAAATCATTTTCATTTTCCTTCTTCACCTTAAATGGTCGGGTGACTGCAATGTTATCTAGACTCTGATAGATTTAACCGTTTTTATTTTTGTCTGTCAAATCTTCCACTTTCTTTCTTTCTTCTTCCTCCTTTGTTATTCCTTTCTTGTTGCCTCCTCATATCTTTTGTGGAATAACTGTTTCGTTGCGTGAACAAGCTGACAGGTAAAATCGCCCACCAGCTCTTTGCAAATGTAAAACTTGTTTACTTATTGAATAAAAACAATTTTCTGCTTCATTTCGCTGGAACGTTATCGATGCTTGCGTTGTATTCAAGGTAACTGGTATCTTAGAAGCAATGGCATTATTTCTTTTGATGCCCATCGGTTTAATACAGTTACCACATCAAGGTATTACTATAAACGACGCTGCATATTTCCGAAATATGCTTCTCTGGCACCAGTTGTAACGGTAGTTGATTTTGATTGAATGGTTTACAAAATTTATTCATCGGTGACAATCGCCCAAGTGCTTGCTCATGTGCTATGGCATTAATTGAATGCCACCTTCTTGCTAGCTTTAATAGCGTTTTTCTTATGCCATCGTGTTTCTTATCAGGCGAAATGACTGCAAACTGATTTTACCTCAAATTTGATTTATTCAAACAATGCCCTAAAACATAGAAAATGGTTCATTCTGTTTTTTTTTGTACTTTAAATACAATATATGCTTTCGGACAAATTTGAAACTCTGGCTGATTATTGCATTGAGCGTGAAACTCACTGTATCAACTCGAGACCGTCCTATTGTGCACATTAATGTGTGCAGATGCATGACCATATGGCTTTCTACAGGAAAAATCGATAACTTATTTTTCATAAAATTATTTTGAATAATTTTCGAGTGAAAAATTGGCAAAATTTTGGGTTGCCGTCTTACCGAAGCTTGTTTATAATCAGAAACTAATTTTCATTAGTTCGTGTGAAGACAGCTTGATAGAGCGTTAGATACTCTTTGCTCGTAACAAAATCTTGCTAAAGCTTATTCTTCTTAGTTTTACAGATAATTATTCGACATATTTTAACTAGAGGAAATTCCCTGTCCAAAGCCCAATTGAAATTACTACCAAAGCAAATTATCCCTTAAATAGGTGTAGAAACCTGCTCTGTTCTACACACCAAGGGTGCATAGGTCTACATACACGGCCTCGAGCACTTTATGGCTGATTAGAATACAACTAATGTTCATCACTAAGTCTATAGCAATGCAGTGGTATAAAGGCGACACATTTAACTTTCTTATTATTTCATAAAAGATTGAACTTTCAGGGACTCAGTTTACAAGCTAAGCTAATATCCCATCGCCTGATGTTCGTACGTCAAATGTACTTCTATGTAACTGGCCAAAAAGCTTAACGTTTTCCGTTGCTAATCATGAAACGTACATTTTTTAAATATACTCTTATTGGTGATTGTTGTTATATTTCCGGATAATACAGATTTTTAAGATTGCAAGATTTACTTTATATCCTAACTCTAAGGTAACAACTAACACCAGAAGCTTGCGCTCAAATGTTGCTTTATGACCGTAACTGAGCACACATCAGCAAAGGAACTTTGCTTCTAAATCTATTCGGTAAATAAAGCAAGACCGAAGCTGAAATATCCAGTTGTTTTTATTAATATCCCGAGAATTGTCGGTTTGATGAGACAAAATTTCTGACAATGCTCTAATAAACCTCTTTCTTTGGGCCTTCTGTTTGTGCACGAGAAAAAAGCCAACTTCTAATGCATAGGATGAGCCGTTGACACCATCTTATCATGAACAATTTTATCATCTTGAAATATTCAACAATTTTTGGTGCGAAGTTTCTTTGATCATCACTTTTAGACGGGTCTAAGTTGTTAATCATAACATTTAAGAGCTATTACAGATGTTCTACTTGAGTTTTTACGCGCATTTTATTAGCACTTCAACGGGCTATTAGGAAGACGGTTTCTTTTAACTCTGCTCATGATCCACTTTGTTCGGTTTCCGAATGCGGTTCCTATATGCCTTTTTCTCATGGACTTGCTGGTCTAATTTCAATTCACCTACATGTTGATTCCAGAATGTACGTTCATTCATAAACTAGTTCGTTTAAACGGGTTTTTGGCAGACATGTTTTCTGCATACTGCAGTTAATGGTTTAATGCCCTTGCGATTCTTTTGTATTGATCATTTATTTTAAAGAATTCCTGCTTCGTCTAGCTTTTTCCTCTTGCAATGCACTCATACAGAGTACTGAGAGGCGAAAGCGATCAAATTATGCATCAAAGGTCTATATGTGTATGGCAAAATCGCTTCAACTTCTCCTCATATATGTGATAATTTAAGATTTAAGTGAAGAATCGTGTTCGAATCAGATATGAGTTTCCGTAAGACTGTTTTATAACATAACCTCAGTGACGAACGATCGGATATTTAAAAAATTTTATAACTCTAGCCGATGGTGTATGTAGCTTTCTGAAATATATATATTAAACGCTACTTTAATAACTTGCTTCCATTAACTGATGCTATCTGCAGAAACAATACTTTTGCTTTCATCGTTGCTCTTGGTTATTAAAAAAATCTGTCTTTCTTTCTGGCGATGTCTTTCTACAAGAAGTTTACTTAAAACTCGATTTTCCCTTCGATCGTTTCACGAAATTGATAGCATGGCAGTCTGGGCGAATGATAATACATGTCTTTGTCCGATATAATACATTTGATTGTTAGTTGTGTTTCATTTCATTGAACCTTTTGCAATATATTGAGGCTCGTTACAACCTAAAGACAGAGTGCTCCGCTTCAAGTTTTATCGAAGCTTAGCAATATCTTGTTTCGCAGGTAGTCGTCGGAAATAAATTTTTCCCAAAGCGTTGTAAGTAAACGATCAGCAAGACTGTCCGTAAGGATTTTTTGTATGAAGCTAAAACTGATTTTGTCTTTCATTTGAAACAATCTCCTGTTTTTTCTAGATTGGTGCACATGGAAAGCCTGTCGTGTTTTTGCACCCAAAAGATTGTGGTGGAGTTTTGATAGAACTTGAAGAAAGTTGAATGATGAAAAGTTGAAGACAATGCTTTGACTTTGCTGATTTACAAATAGAAATTTGATTCTTCACAAAAATCCCTTTTGAAATGCTAGCTAATGTATCACATTTATGCAGATGCTCTTTTTACGCCATCCAATTATCTAATCCACTTGTTTATGAATGTTGTCCCCTGATTGATACTTTTTTCATACCTCTTATACTCTTTTACCCTTTATACTACTTCTAACAGCTCTTTTCTTAAATGAATCTTTTTCTGCTATACTTTATGCAGCCTTGTCGATCAAATATGTACAGTAAAATTAAGTAAGACATGTTGCATCGAAGTCCGTGTTAATTCAACTTATCGATACCTAGACATGTTTATGTACTTACCAAAAGGTTGACTTTGCCAAATAAAAATGCTTGTAAAGGTGTATTGAATATCTGGAAGAGACGAGGAAAACCGATTCATGATTAGGTTGTTAGATTTTACATTTCTAGCTTGAGAACTAATAAAAGACTAAACAAATGAGGAAGTTCATTTACTTATCTTGCCATCCCAGTTTACCTGTATAAAAAGCTTCTCATTGAAGAACGAAACCTCTATTTTATCTAATATCCGTGCATAAACATTTGCTAGACAGAATATTTATAATTATGTTACTGCTTTAATGCTTGCCTGTGCTTGCTTACAATAATACTTGATGATAACTTATTAAAGTCTTTTTACAACCTGCTTTCGTTTTTTACAAACCTTAAGTGCTTTTATATTGAAATGCTTCTACTCACGATACTGATATTTTCTCGCGCTCAGTTGCTCTCAAATGCTTTCTTTAGCGCCGTACTGCCTACACATCGATTTTCGACTTGCACACTACAAATTCAGTTCTGCTCTCACACGATGTTTGATAAAATGCCCCAACGCGCTCTTCGTGACCTTGTTTTTACGCAGCATGTGGTTTAAATACTGTTTTACTTGACCTTCTCTAAATCGTAAACTTTATAAGATAACCAATAAGTAATTAATTCTCAATATTCTGCTATTGGTTGTTTGATTGTTGATGAATCACTGCAGCAAATCTACCTTAGTATGAAAATAGTCAAGAAGTACGTAACAATTGCAGGCTGACCGCATTTAAGGTGCAAGGTGGTTAGCTTATGACTCGCGGTCTGGCTGACACCTTTCTAAATCAACTGATGACCCAGGCTGGTTTTTGCTGATCACCAATGGTTACCATAGTCGTTTTGTCTATGTTGATGATACATTCAGATTGAAAAATGTTGTTTTCGGTATTTTCTGTCATTATTCGTGGATTTTAGTTTGGCCTTTAATAGTGGCTAAAGCTGGAACAAACCGTAGTGCTAGAAACTAGTTCGAACACCAGGAGGCTGCTTGTGCTATCAATTTATTTTGTTGAAAGGTGACATTTGCATACGTACGATCGTATCAACATCAATTAAATACTTTTTTACAATAATATCCAAAGTACTAGATGTGTATAATTGTCTTCCTTATCACTGATACTTCCTTTTATCAATAAGAAACTCGTATAACTCTTTCAAGTGCAAAACGTCATAGATGTCCTCTTGTTTGCTTCTGACAACCGAGTCTGACCTGAGAATTCAAAAGTTGACCTCTCTCTTAGCAATGCGTATATTTAGATGTCACTAAGATTGCAATACAATAGTGTTACTAAGCATTTTCAAGAAACAGCCTCATCATATTTAAAGCCTGTTTCATCTCATTCTTCTCGGTGTGTGAATCGTCAGAATGATAGTCGAAAGATAAACCCCTCTCATTATTTTTGTAGTTCTGTACCACCGGAAAGTTGTTAGTAATTTTCACACAGCTCTAAATTTCAATTATAGTTGGCTTGCATATGACTCGTTTACCTGCCTATATAGTTATGATAGTAACCTATTTCCATTTTCATCGAAGTTTTTATGAATTTACAGGACAAAACTTTGTATATAGAACTACCGATACCTTATTCACGTCGACATTCTATCAAAGAATAAACAAATACATTTGGTTTTTTGCTTCAAAATGAGCAAATTTACCGACAGGCCTGATCACTTGTAGAAAATTCACCAAAACTGTGTTTTTTGCATCCGATTCTACTGTAAGAGAAGCACGCTCATGCTAGTGGGAATTCTGTCATTTTGACTTTTTGCCAGCCTAGATGCTTGTAGGATCTTTACCAATACACGTGTAAATGCTTTACATCAAAACTGAGGCTTGTAGAACGATCGGCGTCTATTTGAAATGAACGAGCGTCACGCAACGTTAATCTTCCCGGATTGTAAACAGTTCCTCATGGCATTAATGTACAGCCGAAAAACAGTAGGATGCATAAAAAATTATCGTGCACATTCATGATAATTCTTCGCTTTACTTGACTATTAAAATGGCTTGGGATTTTGTCCCAAAAAGTTCCTGTTTTTAAAGCGAAGTTACAGGTACCATATTTCCACTAGTTTCATGTGTAGCAAGGTCATATTTACATAAGGATGTCACACCCTGTATAAACCGCAAGCACTATTGCAAATACTGTTAAATTGAGAAGAAAAATGATGTAGAAAATCAGATCCCCAACACCAAGAGGACATGGAAAACACAGAAAATACAAAATGTTCAAAGAAGATTATGAACTACTTTCTTTAAAGACTATTAGATTTTTAAGGGGCTTATCTCTATTCGATTTTGGCAACCCATAGATTCAGTTTATACTTAACACAAATTATTATGTCACAAAGCACATGTATTGGATTCAAGCCCATAAATCTCTTCTTTATGTAGTTTGTAAGTTTTAAAATGCTCTAGGCTGGATATCTCTGAAACTGCTTTACTGATATTTAGTAATTTGTTTATGCTCAAATGATTTTATAATCTCTTCGATGGATCATAGTGGTATTAGTCAAAAAGAAACAGGATTAATTTTCGCAAAAATGAGCAAATCATTCACAGTTGAACATTATTCATCAAAAAGATTATTTCGTTGGTCGTTTGATAATTAATATTTATCAGCTAGTTCCGTTGTAAGGCCAAAAGCCGATGATGATTAATTACAATCAAATTTGCCTGTATTTGTGATTTCAGTGTGAATTCTACTGATTTCCTTTATATTTTTCTTTGACTCCTTTTCCTTGCCGCTTTGGTGATAAAGGCTTTGCTTTCAATTTTACTTTATTGAACATGCAAGCACATAAACTTGCATTTCGTTATTTCTACTGTTACAAAATCTTTCTTTAGTGTTATTAAGTTAATTTGACATTTTGAAATTCTGCAATATGAAAATGTCAATATGATTTGAAACTGTGAGAAATCGTCAGATATAAGACTTAGAGGGGGAAAGTTATAGAGTATGGCATTCGACAGAAATGTCACAAAGCTTTGCAGATGGGATACTTAGTTGAAGATCATATCAAACTCTTTAAAGTAGAAGACCCCAGAACGGTTTGCAGGGCTGCTATTTGAGCCACGAAGCATCTTATTTTTTTATTTTTTTATTCTGATGAATATCATTATATTTTTTTATTCTGATGAATATCGACAATTTCCCATTCATGCCTTAGAAACAGACATATTGCTTAAGATCTATAATGCCTGATATAGTTAATATTACAACTCCACTCACTTGTCTTGTTTATTGCTATTTTTGAATAAAAAAATAATAGCTATGTAAATAACGAAAATATAAATAGTAATATTAAATGATAATTATAAATTGTGTAGACAAAAGGAGTTCGTTTTCTCTCTTGGACTCCATTGGTAATTTTTCTTTAGGCTCGCGGCACTGATTGGTCAACTATACCGGTCTTGTGCTTGCATAATTATAAATGATAGGACGTTGCTGTAAAGCCATATGGTATGGAGTCATCACATGTGCAGTTACTCTACTCTATTTAAGAAAGCAGTTCACAAGTGACGGATACGATTGATACCGAGTCAGCTGAGATTCAAAAGCTTGAGTTGAAAAACTGTAGAAACATTTCTAGCTATCAAGCTTTGATGTTTTCCTCTATTTGAAAAGGCCATCTCAAACAAAGACTTTCAAGTTGATTTCAAATAAGAAAATAGAGAATTCTTCAAAGATTATTGAAACCAAATAAGCCTTTTTAGTAATCAATCAAGATTTCAAATTTCGATGCTAATCTTTTTTCTCATTGGTTACATGATACCAAATTATTGATTGTTGAATTATAGCATCATTAAAGTATCTTGCGCAACCGGCATGCTTTGCGACTATCATACAAAAGACCAGCCTAATATCGCACTGCATGAAAATAACAAACAGAGTCAAGCTCTCAAAACAATCTCGATAATCATGGCGGTTGTGCAAGAGTCTTTAGCCACTGTCAAAGACGTTTACAGAGTCCATCCACTTTTTCAATGGTTTTTTTATTTTCCTTTGAAAGTGTATTTGACGAAAAATGTTCACACAGTATAGAAAAATAACTTTAATGGTATTTATAAATGAAATTTATTTATGAATCCAAAACTTTCTAGCAAATCAATCCAAATCGGGTTGTTTATAATGATATTTGACTTAGTTTTTAGCATATATAATACCGATTGATTCTTACCTACATTCAAATGCAGATTTTTGTTGTTACGAGAATACCCTGTCTGTTGCCTCTTGTGATTTTCTGTAAAAATATTTTGTCCCTTCATAGAATCCCCAGGTTTTTTATTTCGACGCTAAAGTCCGCTTCACGCTAGCACATAGTTTTTCAATATTTCAAACATTAGTACAAAGCTTTATCTTTTATTCTGAATGTAAGTTACATTTTATCAATCTGCAATTTTTTTGGAGCTTTTCACTTTTTCTAGTGTTTGCGTCTGTATTTCAAATACCTGGACAAGGTTAAAATTCATTTTACTCGAAATTTAATTCAACAGAACCTTCTCCTCGAGAAATGACCAGTCTTCCGTGCAGAAATGGCTTTATTGTTGTTTGGAATAATCATCAAGCTTGTTTTTTGCTAAAATTCAAGGCGACAAAAAGTGTTGCCAACTAAGCATTTACACCAAGTGTTGTTGAAAGACAAACATTTGAAAATATACGTCAAGTTTCAACATCGCCCTGCACTTTTGGATTCCCGCAAGTTTCCTTTCTAGAATCTTTTTTTCAAAGCCATGGAAAACTAACCATCAAACAAGGGAACCTACAGCCCTATGATCTCATTTCTACTTGATTTCCTACATTTTGCAAGGATTCGCCGATTATTGGAATATCACGCGACATAGTGTTCTTTGTATCTATTTAAGAGAATTTAAGTGATTCTGTACTTCAAGATTACATATAAAACAAAGAAACATATTCACAAGATGTTGAAAATTGTATAATTAAGTATTCCCTAATACCCAGTATGAAATTTGTCCCTATCATCTTGGCTAATTTTTCTAATTTGCTGATCGATAGGATACACAAAAGTTACCGAAGCGGGTAAAATGGCGTGGGGGAACAGACGTTTTCATGTAGGGGATCAACTATTATTAGAAAACATACGTCAAGTCATGTTGAAAATCCACTTACAAGTGTCTGCTCTTTGTTGTGCAAAAATCATTCGAGCCACAGATGCACCAGGTGTAGCCTTAAATGAAATAGGCTACCTAAATCAGGTTACTTCTCTGATGTATTATCAATTTAATGGGATTTCTCTTTATTTAGATATTTTGGCAGCTTGATATTTGATATTAATTTTCAATAAGGTGTAGTCTGACATTATGCTGTTTTTGTGTAGATTCTGATATCGAAATGACCTCGAAAAGGAGTGATGTTGT